CATCTAATTACCAAACATCTGCTCTTCTTATCCCCCTGTGAATTATTTCCCTCCCTCTGAAGTCCGAGACCCTTCCCTCTGTCTCCTTAGTTCAGAATAACATATGTTCCTTATTTTGCCTGTCTTTGAAATGTCTGTGTCTATGTGGATTCCCCATAATGTACAGTATTAAATTTAATTTTCAACTGTTAATCTGTCCCATATCAATTTTATTTTTAGTCCAGCTAAAAGGAACTTGAAGTGCAGAGGAATTCTTTCTCCCTGACATTAAATGTCTGGAATACGTACAATATTTTATCTTTTTATGATGCTTCTTTTTCTATAAATCAAAAAAGTGTGTATAATACAAAATATATTAGATGGTGTACCTCTTGAATCTGAAAACAAATCATGCATGCATTTAAAAAATAATAATAAAGAAAAAATAAGGATGAGGGGAAATATGCCTAGAAAATGGTACCACAAGACAGCAAGTATAGCAGTATTAATATTAAACAAATTTTAAGGCTCAAAGTATTAATGGGGATAGAGAGGTGCACTGTAAGGACTTTTGTTCGAGTGTGGACAACAAGATATTCTGGAAACCCATCCTGAAGCAAAATAGCTAAGGACTCAATAAACAACAAACACACCCTAGCACATCATGGCCCAGACAACAAGAAACCAAAGAAAACCCCCAAATCTCCCAGAACAATACACACCTAGGAGCTGAAGCCTGACTACTAAACACAGCAGATTGGGTTCATTGGGGGCAAATGTCATTAAGATTCTGCACTTTGTCACTTAATGGCAGCCTCTTGGGGAAAAGAGGGTTCTAGGCCTTTCAACTGAACTGGAGACACCTAGCATAGAGCCAGGGCTCTTGAGAAAGTTTAGGCTTGAGAAAAAAAAAAAATCTAGCATAGATTTCTAAGAAACCTGTTCGTCTCAGAAGTGGCGCTATGGAGAAGGGCAGAGGAAATTTACAAGGGTTTTTCCAAAGACCTGGAGTCTAGACTTTCAGTGAAAGCTTCCTGAAATTAAAGAGCCCTGGGCGCCCTCTGCTGCCTCATGGAGGCAAGCTTAAACCTCTTCAAGAAGGAAGCATCTTTAACCCGTTATTGGGTTACACACCAATTATTTATTATCTATCATCTCTCCAACTATTCATGCATTCATTGTTTATTGAGCACATATTACCTGCCAGGCATTCTCCTAGCAATTTGGGGTGTCCAAATATAAACTCATAATAAATGTGACCTAATTGAGGAAGAAACCACACTATGAAGACTTAGGCTTCCAAATAAAAAAGAGATCCCCCCCTCAGAAAAATATTTCAGATACTGAAATTATCAGATAGACACTATGAAATACCTACTGAAAGCTTAAAGGAGTAAAAATGGAATAATACGAGCAAAAAGCAAGGGACATTCAAAATTAGGCCCATTTTTAAAACTAATGAAATAGAACTTCTGGAGATGAGAAAGAACTATAATCCATAATGACAAATAAAAGTCCAGTGATACGATGTAATATTCAGGGCCCTGACGCGCCTGACCACACAGCTACTATGTATCGCAGGAACTGCCAGGATTAGAACTTCAGGTTCACAATTGTAGGGCAGCTTTCAGTGTCCGACTCTTAGAATTTCATATACCAACCAAGGAAGATGCTTATGGTTATAGAAAACTGAACAACACGATAAACATACCTCATCTGTGACTTCTGCACTTAACGCATACAGAATATCTGATTTATTACAAGGTACACATACTCTGGTTTCTCTTCAGATCGTATAAATCTTTCGCCTTTATAAGGTACACATTTAATAATTTCAACATTTCAACCCTGGCTTCAGAAAAATAACAATACATACCAAAAAACCAGTTTCATATATACTGCACTCTTTCATCATCATCTGAAGAGTCATAGGAAGGATTTTTCTAAGATAGTAGAAATAAAAATCTTCTCACATGCTTGCAATCTAAAAGCAGTTCTAAAGACGTGGATTAGAATGAATACCATGAGAAACTATGTAATATTCAAATACTCGCAGGAAGCGTCCTAGAAACCTGAGGACCGTGAGCAGGGCGCGTGCGAGCCGGCGGCCCCGCGGCGGCGCTGGGAGGCTCCCTCGGCCACTGCACAGGACGGACAGGAGGGACACAGGGACACCGCCGCCCTGCTGCTCCGGCGGCACAGCGCTCGGCTCTGCGTTCTTCCCCGCCGACCGCCCAGAGCCTGGCGGCGAAGGGCCAGCCGCAGCTCCGCGACGCCGGGCGACCAGCGTCTGCGCACCAGCAGGGGGCGCCGCGGGAACCCGCCCCGGCGAAGGCGGCGGGAAGGAGCGAGAAGACGCGCGACCCCGCGGGGGAGCCGGAAGAACGTAACGTGGCGGGAGGCGCAATGGGCGGGACGCGTGCGTGGAAACGGCCCAATGAGGGGGCGGCGTGGAGGGCGTGGCCAGGAGACCGGGGTGAGGGGGCGGGGCTTGCCGGGCCGCCGGGTCCCTTCCACGCCTGCGTGGACGCGGAGGGTGGAGGACGGCCGCTGCCAGTTTTTAGGACTTTGCAGTTCCAGTTGAACCCGGAGTGTAGTTGTGTTGCTGTTTGGTACTAGTATTTCGAGGCAATCCCCTCTTCCGGTCGAAAGCGCAGTTCTCTGGCGTGAGTCCCCGGACCCGCAGCATCGGCAGCACCTGGATAGTGTAGGAATGCAAATAATCCGATCCTGCTAGAGGTCCAGGGCATCAGAATCTGTGAGGTGGGGCCCAGCAATCCGAGCTTTAAAAACCGCTTCAGGTGATTTGGGTGCACGCTGAAGTTTGGGACTGCTTTGAAGTATTGTGTGTCCCTTAGTTCGGGTGCTGGAGGTGACTCTTCAAATGCGAGCTGAGCTAAACCGAGCTGTTTACCTTCAGGATCGTTACCAAAGCCAAAACAGGGCTTAGTCCTTACCCACTCAGACTTCGATGCCAGAGTATAAGGTGAAAAATAAATATGTCTAGAAAGGCGAGATCTGGGACAGGGATTTGAATCAACAATGAATGCAGAATTCCATTTCTCCAGGTCTGATTAATCATAACCTCTCATCTACAGACGTTTTGCCCTCACTTAGACGTCTCCATCAAAGGTACTGCATGGTAAATAATGAATTCCCAGTCACTGGGCCTGTAAGGAAGTAAATGCTATTTTTATAATCAGAGCAAAAATACAGTGAAAATGCTAAACCACTTTTATTTAGGCTCTTCCCGAGGTAATGCTCTCCTGATGAATCAGTGTAAAACAAACCAGGACAGGTTAGATTTGAGCAGGATATACACACTAATCAATCATTCTCAGGCGGATTAGACTTTTATACTTCATAAATTCTAGGAGCTCATCCACATTTTCAGTAACTCATTGCATTCATTTCTTCTCTGCATCTCTCTCCTATAACTGAAGAAATAAAAATGATTTATTTCTTCGGTGCCATTTTGCAATCAGTATTGATATTTGATGTACAGGGAAGAGAGGTCTTTTAACACACGTTCGTATAATGTGCTATGAGATATCTTTACTCCAATATTACCTATGCCTTAGTCATTTTTCGCATGAACAGATAATGTCTCAAACCATGCTTAGTCAAGAGATATTCCTGAACAAGATGGTCTCTGTTCCAAATCCCCCAAATATACTTCTTCAGGTGGGATTTGAGCAGTTCAAAGCTCATATTTTCTCTTTAGTTTTTGACCTGAGAAGAACTGACTACTCTGATTGTCCTTTTAATTCAGTGACTAAAGAAAATATAGTACTTGCTAACAATTGTTAAGTGTATACTAAATGTCTATGAGCATTTTAAGAACTTTACATGATTTATCTCACTTAATCCTTAATAGTACACTACTTCTTAGAATTATTTTATTGTTGTTGTATAGATGTGGAAAATAAGTCCCAAAAAGCCTGAGTCACTTAGTTTTTTTTTTTTTTTAAGATTTTATTTATTTATTTGAGAGAGAATGAGAGAGAGCAAGTACATGAGAGGGGGGAGGGTCAGAGGGAGAAGCAGACTCCCTGCTGATAGCAGGGAGCCCGATGCGGGACTCGATCCCGGGACTCCAGGATCATGACCTGAGCTGAAGGCAGTCGCTTAACCAACTGAGCCACCCAGGCGCCCCTGCTTTGCAGTTTTAAGTAGGGGTTATTGGAGCAAAGATACTGAGATGAAGTAATCAGTCT